CATCATCATCATCATCATCATCATTATCACTATCATCCTCCTCAATTATTATATTCTACTTTTGCACGTACTTTTGTAGAGAAAATTCACCACAACCAAACATATTCTCATTTCTACACCTACATAAAACTAAAAATACCCCTTCATCCAAACATATTCTCATTTTATACACAAAAATTAATAAACTACTTTTTCCATCAGAAATTTTGAAAACTAGAAATCCCCATTGGAAACATAACCAAACATCCCCATAATCTTCAAAGCCATCTACTACTCCAGTCGTACACTTTTGACCAGGCACAGAAGAACTATTCAACTACCGAAAAAGAAATGCTTGCAGTTTTTTATGCCGTTGACAAGTTCAGACCGTATATTTTGGGCTCTCAGGTGATCATTTACACCGATCACACAGAATGACGCCAAGCACCGACTCATCAGATGCATACTACTACTCCAGGAGTTCGACTTGGAGATCAGAGATAAAAAGGGGAGCCAGAATGTGGTGGCCGATCATCTTTCTAGACTCATACTTAACGAAGTTCCAGCCGAAGGAAATATTCAGGAATCATTCCCAGACGAGCAATTGCTCGCCATTAGCACTCACACTCCGTGGTATGCTGATGTGGACAACTTCTTAGCCAATGGAATCATCCCTGATGGTCTTTCTTATCACCAAAGGAAAACATTCCTTCGCGAAAGTCGTTTCTTTCTATGTGACGAGCCATTGCTGTTCAGAACTAGCCCTCATCAAGTTATCAGAAGATGTGTTCCAGAAATCGAAATACGCGAGATACTCACACATTGCCACTCTTCACCTTGTGGCGGGCATCACGGGGAATCTCGCATAGCCGCCAAAGTTCTGCAGTCAGGCTTCTTTTGGCCAACCTTATTCCAAGATAGCTACGAATTCGTGAAACGGTGTGATCGATGCCAACAGATAGGGAATCTATCCAACAAAATCCAAATGCCACTGAACAATATGCAAAATGTGGAGCTTTTTGATGTTTGGGGCATATATTTCATGGGACCATTCCCTCCTTCAAATGGAAAGTTGTACATTATGCTTGAC